GGAAAAAGATTTACTCGAAGTACAGCATTAACCCATCATAAGAAAATACACACAGGAGAGAAACCATACACTTGCACAACATGTGAGAAAGGCTTTGCACATAAGTTTCAGTTGAACGAACACATGAGAAATCACACAGGAGAAAAACCATATTCTTGTGAAACCTGTGGAAAAAGATTTAGCTTTAGCTCCTCTTTAAAATACCATGTAAAATCACACAATGAAGAGAAGCCGTACACTTGCAAAACATGCGAGAAAGGTTTTGCTCTAAAAAGCCATTTGGCTGCTCACATGAGAACTCACACAGCTGAGAAACCCTATCCTTGTGAAACATGTGGCAAAAGATTTGGTCGCCCTTCAGCACTCACTCGTCATAAGGCTTTGCACACGGGGGAAAAACCCTATTCTTGCAAAACATGTGGGAAAAGCTTTGTCCAGCAATCTTACCTGAAGGAGCACATGAGACATCACACAGGTGAGAAACCATATTCTTGTAAAATATGTGGAAAGGAATTCAGTTTTCTTGCATCATTAAAATACCATACAACACTGCATACAAATGAGAACCCATACCATTGTAAAACATGTGGGAAAGGTTTTGCCTTTAAATGCCACATGAAGGAGCACATGAGAAGTCACACGGATGAAAAACCATATTCTTGTGAAATTTGTGGCAGGGAATTCACCTTCCTTTCATCATTAAGATACCATACAACATTGCATACAGAAGAGAAACCATACCTTTGTGAAAAATGTGGCAAAGGGTTTGCTTTTGAATACCACATGAAGGACCACATGAGAACTCATCTCAAAGACAAGCCGTATTCTTGCAAAAGTTGTAGTAAAAAATTCTGTCATGTCTCGACATTAAATCGACACAAGAAAACTCACACAGAGGAGACGGCTGGTAAAGATGTGGGAACTGCTTAGCATGACACGGCTACCTAATACGGTAGGGCTGTGTTGGCAAGAATCTGGTGATACCATATGTCCATATGTATCGTGAGGCGGGGCAGTGATCCTAGTCTCAGACTCTGCCCCCCCCCCCCCACCACCACCACCACCACCACCACCACCATCAACACCTCCTCCACCCTAGTACACCCCACCCCTCTACTAAAAGGGACACGGGGGAGAGAAGCAGAGGGAGGAGGAGAACAGAACCTTCGGGACACCTGTGCTGTCGGTTCGACTGAACATTCTGGCTCTTTTATCAGTGAAGTCTTCACCTCCACCCAGACTGTGGCACACGACGGTGGAGCTGCTGATGTAGACGCGCCAAGCACGGGATCAGACTGGAGTGACGGTGACGGAGGGGAGGCAGCCGCAGCATCAGTGCCAGCGTCAGGAGGACCATCATCAGGAGGCGGTCAGCGGATGGAGATGCGCCGCGAAGGCGGAGGAAGGATGACGATGAGGATGAGGAGGGTGATGTAGCAGGTGCTGCAGGGTCGTGCCGCATTGCCTGGTCCGCCGAGAGCGACGCCGGGGGAGCAGGTGATGCTGTCGTCGTCATTGTGCCACCGAGAGACGGAGAAAGACAGGAGGAGGCGGAGGTGATGGAGGAGGACAGGCTGTGACATGGAGGGACGCGGCAGTGAGAGCTCGGGCCGCCCGGATCAGCAGGTTTCAGAAGGAGAGAAGCCACAGATGATGATCTGAGAGCTCGGTGAAATAATCTTAGGCTAAACGTTCAAGTCAAAAATTCTCTGGAGTTGAATTAGTGGAAATGCGTGTGCGTGTGCGTGTGAAGCTGCAGGAGCTGCACAGCAGCGGCGTCTGCTCCACTTCACCCCGGATTACAGCTCCACAGCAGCAGGCCTCCATCTGAGGTCTCCTCCTCACCAGACACAACATCACTCTCTTCTCCTTACTCCTCCCTGTTGCTGGAGGGAAGACTTTTTCCTCTGCTGCCGTTCTCCTCCCTGAAGCTGCCGTGGCGTGGTCCCCCGTGGAGGGACAGCTGTTGCAAAGGATGACTCACCTGCAGGCTGGCCTCTCTCCGGAGACCCTGGAGAAGGCCAAAGTGGAGCTGAAGGAGAACCCGGACACTTTACACCAGGACATCCAGGAGGTCCGGGACATGATCATCACCCGACCGGACATCGGGTTCCTCAGGACGGATGACGCCTTTATCCTCAGGTTCCTCCGGGCCAGGAAGTTCAACCACTTCGAGGCGTTCAGGCTGCTGGCTCAGTACTTCGAGTACCGGCAGCAGAACCTGGACATGTTCAAGAACCTGAAGGCCACGGACCCGGGAATCAAACAGGCTCTGAAGGACGGTTTCCCAGGAGTACTGTCCAACCTGGACAGATACGGACGCAAGATCCTGGTCCTGTTCGCTGCCAACTGGGACCAGAGCAGGTGAGATCTTGATCTGGGATCAGGAGAGGAGATATTTCATTGTATTGGTGTTTTCTTACAGCCCCTGAGACGTTGGCCTTGACCCGTCCCCCTGTTGGTCAGTTGTTGTCATTGTCTTCTTCTGTAAATGAAGTTTAACTGTGTTAAATACTTTAGCGTCTGACCCCAACGACGACGTCTCTCCTACCACTGTACTGTTGACACTGTAACAGCTGCTCCGACTGTTGTCTGGCTGTATGTCTGCTCCTGCTCTCTCTCTTTCTTCCCACATTCGTCTGTGTCTCATTTGGTCATTTCCCTCTTTGCTGCAGCAGAATTGAACGCTGATCCTGGACCTGCTGCTCGGTTCTTTCCTGTTGAAGGTTTTTTTTCTCCCAGCTGTTGACAATCTGCTGCTTGGCGTGTGATTTATTTTGGTTTTTGATTTCAGTAATATTTGTGGAGGTTTTACTGTTTGTTGTTAATTTGAACTCAAAGTAACATTTGGTGTATTTACCTCCCTCCGTTTTCCCCTGATATTTGGGATTTTTTTAGGAGGATCATTAAAGTTGAATTCTAACTTCAAATCCGTGAGTGTGAATCTGGGCTGTACAAATAAATTGACTTTACTGAAACAACGTCACTGCAGTTGTAGCTCCACTGAATCTCCCGGATCTTAACATCCCATCATCAACCCCCAGCATGACTCTACAAAGCCATTTGGCTGCTCACATGAGAACTCACACAGCTGAGAAACCCTATCCTTGTGAAACATGTGGGAAAAGCTTTGTTCAGCAATCTTTCTGTGAAGTTTTACAGGTGTAACACTTGTGGTCAGGTTTTTCACGACGAGGTTTCTCATCAAAATCAGGTGAAAGTTCACGTCCGAGCGACGCTACATCACTGTGAAATCTGTCAAAAAGATTTTAAATTCAAATCTTTTTTAAAGAAACACATGAAAACTCGCTCACATAAGAAACCCTATTCTCGGGACACGTGTGTGAAACAATTAAGTTCCAGTTCAGAGTTACCAACCAATGAGAAACCCCATATTTGCAAATATGTGGGAAACGGTTTAAACTCATTTCTGACCTGAAGATTCACATGAGAATACACTTGACTGAAAAACCCTACAATTGTGAGACCTGTGGGACAAGATTCAGTTTTATTACGTCATTAATGTACCACAAAACCCTGCACAATAACGAGAACGGAAACATTCTACAAGTGTCCACTGCCGTTCAACATCTACGCCTTGCTAAATTTGTAATCAGGTTTTTGAAGTGAGTCGCCATCTGTTTGAGCACATGTTAGCTCACAAAAACGACAACCTTTATCTTTGTGGTAAAAAAAATGTGTTCACCCGTCAACAGTGACCCGTCATAAAGAAGAAGAACATGAGTGAGAAACCATATTCTTGTCCAGAAAGAAGCACATGGGAAGTCACTCAGGTGAAATGCTAATGTTCCTGTGAAATTTGTGGGTTTTTGATGGAGTAATTGGGGTAAGTCACACACCCACACACACACACAGGTGAGAGACCGTATGTTTGGCCTGTCTGTTGAAAGAATGTCTGAGATGTTGGACTCTCAGCTTTGAACTCAGGCGTCCCTCTGTTGGTCATGTTTTATAGTCAAAGTATGTATAAAGTATTTGTTCAGTGTGACCAAATAAAATGTAAAAGTTTATTAACCACAGAACAGACGAGGTTACAGTGAGGCTGCTGTTAAGATGTTGTAAATCCATTTATTTTTTTACAGTCCTATCTAACAGAGAAAGTTTCCTGACAGCTGCTCAGCTGGGGGGTTTTTTTGTTTTGCTTTTTTTTTTTTTTTAATTCAGTCTGATTTGTTTTGCGAACGTGAGCAGATGAAAGTGAAGTAAAACAATGACATGAAATTATAATGGTTAGGGACTAGCTTGCTTTTATGTCAACGGAATGTTTTTCTCTTATTTCTATCACAGTATGACTCGAATGTTTTGCTCTGTTCTTCACTGAATAAATGCTGTTGAAATCCGGTCATTCGTTTGGATGCATTTTTATTTTCACCGGGATTTCATGTTTCCTGTGTTCTATTTCAACGGGGTAAAAGCCCAAAAAATGACGTTGGAACCTTAGAGGGCGGTGACCTGTAGGTGTAACACCACCAACTCCAACAGGAAGTAAAACCCTCTCTTCAAATGAACACTGACATTGGACAGATGAAGATGTAATGGAGTGGCCTGTGCAGTCAGCAGACACTATAATACCTCAAAAGTATGAAATACATTTCAGTTCAAAGCTTTTAGGTCAAAACCGATTTATTATAAAACAAACAGGACAGTGTCGGAAGAACTTCATTTATGATCGTTGCTTCATGCTGTACTGTCGCTTTAAGAAGCTGTTCTCTCCTCATTATAATCTACTGCCAAAGACTGATGGAAAATTACCAGACACAGTCACACCCACATTCTTACCTACACATTCACATCCATGTACTCACACACGATCACGTGATACGTAATCTGATACTTTTATAAACTGAACCAAAGAGCAGAGGACTTGGGCGTGGCTTTTCAGAGTAAACGAGGAAGCTGCACTCTGCCTCTGCAAGGAGAAGATCAAGACGTCTTTTGTGTTGTTACTTTGTCGTCATGTTTGTTAGTTTGAACCGAACATTTGAACCGTTCACGTCTTAGCTTTAGCCTCGCGTTCAACCAGAGAGCGGTTAAACCACCGTTGGTCGTGTTTCCTAAAAGAATCATCTTTCGACGAAGCAGCGGTGTCTTCAGGAAGGTTTAGAGAATTTATCAACGAACGATTAACCGCATATCCATGTTTACTGTGTTCTATTTCAACGGGGTAAAAGTCCAAAAAATGACGTTGGAACCTTAGTGGGCGGTGACCTGTAGGTGTAACACCACCAACTCAAACAGGAAGTAAACAGCTGACGTCCTGCTTATTGTAGCTCGTTAGCGTCGACCGTCTGCTGTGAAGCTGCCGGACGCTGGTTAATGTTTATTCTGGTGGAAAATTCCTCAGACTTTAAACTCTATCGTAGTTTTCTCTGCGTTTGACGGATTTACCGGACGAACCACAAAGTGCGAGGGAAAGTCAGCGGGAAATAGTGACGTTGAAAACACGGAAGTGAACAAACATCAGCGCAGACCGACAATGAACAAAGTCGAAGAAAAGTTCACAAGAGAAGGTGTGTGTGAATCCCAACACTGTACGATCTTTATACACACACACACACACACACACACGGTTGTTTGACTCTCGTCTGTCTCTTCAGAATGTCCCTTTAACAATGACATGGATTTAAATCGTCACCAAAAGCAACCAAATAAAGAAGAGGGAGAGGAAGGGTCACCTCAGATTAAGGAGGAGCAGGAATCACTTCAGATTAAGGAGGAGCAGGAGTCACTTCAGATTAAGGAGGAGCAGGAGTCACTTCAGATTAAGGAGGAGCAGGAGTCACTTCAGATTAAGGAGGAGCAGGAGTCACCTCAGATTAAGGAGGAGCAGGAGGAGGAGGAGGTTCACCCTGACTGTCAAGAGAACTCCAGTTTGGATCGACATAAACCAGGAAATTGCCTCAAACAGAAGGGGGCGCTAGAACCAAAGCAGGAAGATGAGCCTTTTCTCAGGACTTGTGATCATGTTGGAAGTGTTGGTGACACAGCAGAGATGGACAGCAGCCACCGGCTCCAGTGTCAGATAGAACCGACCCGTTCAGACTCTGGACCGCAAGAAAAAAAAAACGGAACCAGAGGACGTGAAAAAAGTTTTAAATGCGAGCACTGTGGTAAATCTTTCAGGCACCAGTACCAATTGAGAACGCATCTGAGAACTCACACAGGTGAGAAACCACACTCTTGTAGAACATGTGGGAAATGTTTTGTAACCAGTAGTGATCTAAGGGTTCATGAAAGAACTCACACAGGCGAGAGACCATATTCTTGCAAAACATGTGGGAAATGTTTCGTATCTTGTAGTGATTGGAAAGTGCACGCCAGAACCCACACTGGTGAAAAACCATATTCTTGTCAAGCCTGTGCCCAAACATTTAGAACAAATTCTGCCATGCATAAACATATCAGGCTGCAAAGATGTAAGAAGCCACACGGTTGCCAATCCTGCGGGAACGAATTTGCAACTAACAAGGAACTGAAAGACCACATGAACACTCACACGGGGGAGAAACCATATTCCTGCAAAATATGTGACACATATTTTGCAAGTAGGGAACTCCTGAAGGTCCATATGGGGAGTCACAGGCGTGAACAGACCTATGTTTGTGAAAAATGTTGTAAAGGTTTTGCACACGTCGGTGCGTTGACCAGCCACATGAGGACGCACTCCAGTGACAAGCAGCACAGATGCAAAATATGTGAGGCAAATTTTAAACGTAGTGGTGCCCTGAAGGTCCACATGAGAACTCACACAGGTGAGAAACCATATCCTTGTCAAATATGTACAAAGTCCTTTCGTAACAAGTCGTCATTTAATCAGCACATGAGGTCACACACAGGAGAGAAACCATATTTCTGTGAAAGCTGTGGGAAAGGTTTTGGCAGTAGCTGTCAGCTGTCAGTCCACGCCAGAACACACACGGGTGAGAAACCATTTTCTTGTGAAATATGCGGAAAATCCTTTGTCAGCAGTAGTGCGTTGACAATCCACATGAGAACTCACACAGGGGAGAAACCGTACTCCTGTAAATCCTGTGGGAAAAAATTTAAAACCAACAGTGCGTTTAGTGTACACATGAAAGCTCACAACGGTGAGAAACCATATCCTTGCAGCGCCTGTGGAAAAAGATTCCGTGTCTCTGCGGCTTTGAAAAGGCACATGAAAACTCACACCGGAGAGAAACCCTTCAGATGCCACGTCTGTAAGAAAGACTTCCGACAGAGCGGCACCTTGATGGAACACTTGAGGACACACACGGGCGACAAACCACATGTCTGCCAAACCTGTGACAAGTGTTTTGCCCATAGGGCAAACTTGTGGAACCACATGAAAACGCACAGCTGAAAGGCCGCGTTCAGGCAACTTTATGTCAACTTTTGTGGGGCAATAAACCGGGTTTAAAGAAAATAATTGGATCAAATCATCAGCCAAACGTGATGAACACAGTGTCACTGTGTTTCCCTTTCTAACCAGTAGGTGGCATCAGAGTATTCGAAGGACATCAATACTTTACCAGCTGACACACAGAGTACTCTGTCTCTCACTCTACACTTTCATAACATTTGTGACTGTAACGATCGTCAATTCATTTAGAAAGATTGATATAAAAGAAAACTGAAGAAATGTCTGAGTTTTACTTTTGAGTGATTTGATTTTTTAAGCAGATGTCGAGGAGAACATTATCAAAAAAAAGTACCTTTACCTAACGGCAGCCTATTAGTCATTGTCTACACACACACAAACACACACACACACCTGCAGACGCCTCAATGGGGCCGTAAGTCGGGGGGGGGGGGGCGGTACTGCAGTTGAGGACAAAGGACTGTCAAACTGAGTGATTCTGCTTCGCTGCCTCTTCTTCACGGTTTCTGCGTCAAAGAATTGGTTGAATTTTCTGTATTTATGTGAAAATAAAAGTTTTGATCTCTGTCTCTGTGTAACTGTGATATAAACTGTCCAAAAATCACAAAAGCAATTACACAAAAATTAAAAGAAAAGATAAAAACCAGCCGTCCAGTCCAGACAGAAGATCAATAATAATCGAACCTTTAACTAACTTTTTTTAGAACTCTTTCACAGGTCACTTCAACAACAGTTTATTTATTGATCAATTTTTTTTTTTTTTGAAGGGACGCTGCTACTCTCTGACCTTGATTTTTTTTAATTGAAGCTCCGGCCTGTGTGTGTGTGTGTGTGTGTGGGAGCAGTGACATCATCAGGAATACAAACGGTCCGTTTGACTG